TTGTGGTGGGCGGCAGGAGGATGGGCAACGGGACATGACGACCTTTTGCCATACCCAGTCCACTTCCGGGTTGTGGTGTAGCAGCCACAAGTGCCCTATGATGAGGGACTGTTGCCCGAGGTTCACGACTGCGAAGCGGGCCCGCTCTGTATGGCGTCTGAATGTCAAGAGGGCCTCTAGTTCCTCAGTTATGGCCCCATTCTCGTTTGGGGTTCCATCGACGTTGCGGACGGGGATGGGTTGGGGGAGCGGGGTGGTCTCGAGCCTGTGCTTTTGGATGAACTCGGGGCTTACAAAGTTCCCAGTGGCTCCCGAGTCGAGGAGTGCTGACACGGATACGGAGGCCAGGGTGGTCAGGGTGGTCAGCTTCACAGCAAGGTTGAGGGATCTCGGAGAGTGTTTGGAGAGGACATAGATAGCGGGTGGGGACACTGCTACCTCTGGGGTCATCGTCCTTGCGGGCTGGGGGTGCTCCCTTCCTCTTCTTCTTTGCAATGACTCAGTGGAGTTTCAGTGCTGGTAGGGGCTCGTGTGCGTCATGGCATCTGCGTGAGCTATCCCTCATGGGCGGTTGGGTCTCCGGGCACCCTCTTTGGTCTGTGCCTAGCCCCTTCCCTCTTGCTTCTGATCCTTTCGTCACTTGGCCCCTCAGCCCCTTCATCAACGTTTGGAGGTCTTCTGGGTGCAAGCGTTGGGTCTGGCTGGCCTCTGGGTGCGGGTTCGTCTCTGGTCTGGGGCAGATTACGGGAGTCACGGACGGGACTAGTGGGGGAGAGGGTTTGGGTGAGGGCATACACAGCTGTGTCCTCTGGAAGCGCTGCCACTGGCTGTCAAGGAGGGTGGCCTCGCATTTCCATTCGGACCAGGTGGTGGGCATAGGGCAGAGCTGGTAGATGCTCTCACGGAGTCGGGAGTTGATTGCCCACTTGAAGCGGTCGACTAGCCCTACGTTGCCCAGCTGCGAAGTGGGCCCCAATATCTCAAACTCCTGGATGAGCTTGTCCACGGGATCACTCCCCTGTCGGACGGTAGCAACCTCTGCCGGGCTGTGGCCTCCCAGTTCGGGTCTTGGAACATGGCATCGAGTTCCACATTGAACTTGTCCATGGTGGGTGTGGGAGAGCCCATTGTCAGTAGTGCCATGGTGCATTGTGTCGCCCACGCTCCTGCAGTCCCTCCTTTCATGTAGGAAAGCATGAAGAGGACTTGGGAGAGGGTGCTGGGGAATTTGGCCACGCAGACGTAGAGATAGATCCCGCATTCGGCCCTGAAGCGGTCAAGGTCCTCGCTGACTCCCAAGAAGGGGGTGGGGGGGGGCGACCTTGGGTGGTCTGGGCGCATGCGCGGGCTGGCCTTGGGCTTGGGCTATCACAATGGCCTGTAGTTCCTGGAATCGGGCCAGCAAGTCATCATACTGTTCTTGCGTCACCATGGCAGGGGAGATGGGGGGAAATGGGGTTGAAACCTTCTTCTGCTGTCAGGGACCGACCCGGGGTCGAGAGCATCTGGGGATATCGCCCAGGGCTGAGGGCCCGGTAGGGTGTAGTGCAGGCATGCGTAACAACGGGCCCGAAGCAGGCAAGGGTCCCTGGCCACTTAGGCTAAAGTGGGAAGTGTGTTATTATTATTAGCAGGGGAATGTAAGCTACTTGCCTAAAGTGGGAAGTGTGAGAAGAAGGTTACTTCTCAGTTCCCACTCAGGCTGTGTTTATGTACATGCGGTTGGAGGTCATGTGGGGAGCACCACGTCATCTACGCGCACAGCCGTGTCTGCCCGGGTATCTCTGTAAGAGATCTCAGGAGCGTCCGGTGTGTAGGGCATCACCCAGTGTGTCCGGGTCCGGGCATGTTGTGCAGCCTGGTTAATGGTACATCGAGCAAGGAAGTCGTCCATGTAGTAGAAAAGGAAAGAAGAAGGGAAAGGAAGAAGGAGAGAAGGGAGGAGGGAGGATGGGGGCACCGGGTGGGGGTAGTGGGATCGGGTGGGGTCGGACCGGGTGGAGTGGGGTCAGGCAGGTGTGCCCTGACACTCAGTGCCCAGAACTACATGACTGACCGCCCGACCAAGAAACTGGACCATAAGTGGCTAGGCCCCTTCAAGGTCGCCAAAGTCATCTCCCCGGCTGCTGTCAAACTCCAGCTCACCACACGGCAGAAGGGAATACACCCAGTCATATCCGTGACGAACGTAAGACCATTGTTATGGAAATGGGAATTTCCCATTTTAGACTCTTATGGGTTCTGTGTCACATGATTTGTATAGTATCGAATCAATAATCAACAAAAACCCGCTGCCACACTACCTGTTCAACAACATGTTAAACCATCTGTGAAACAACCTGTAAACCCTTATGTCCAACCCCCTTCCCTATTCCTGCACCAGAACGGACGAAAATGGGCACTTCCGGCCCCATTTTTGTAACGACCATACTGCCTGGACGAGATTGCAGAGCGACCCCCCAACCCCTGCCTGGGCCCAGAATTCGTAGATGGAGAGGAGGAATATGAAGTGGAGAAAATACTGGACTCTAAGTGGTTGCGCTGGAAGCTCTGGTATTCAGTAAAGTTCGCTGGCTGGCTGAACTCGGAGAATGAATGGCTCCCCCAAGACCAACTAACCCATGCCCCTGACCAGATCGAAGAGTTCCACCAGAAACACCCCCATGCCCCAGGAAGGGAGAGAACGAACCCCCTGGCTGCTTCGAGGCAAAGCGGCTTAAGGAGGGGGTGATGTCAGGGCACACCCACCCAACCCGGCTCCACCCACCTTCACCCGGTACCCCACTCACCTCCACCCCTCACCCTTCACCATTGTTTCTCACTTCTTGTTCTTCCTTTGTCCTTCTGTTCTTTTGCTCTCTTGCCCTTTCTTCTATCTTTATCTACATGGACGACATTTCCCCTTATCTATGTATTATCGACCTGCCCACAACACATGCATGACGCACCCAGCCCCGGATGACCCGGACGGCCTCACAGTGCAACCCAGCATGCAGGCATGCAGCACACACCCTCAGGATCCCCCACAGGGACACCTGGATGACTGCAGCTGTATGCGGGGTGATGTGGCAAACCTCATGTGACCCAAGCCGCATGTACATAAAAGTACCTGGGGTGGGAACCGAAGAAGTAACCTTCTTCTCACGATTCCCACTTCAGGTAAGTAGCATAGCTTCCTTTTTAATAACAACTCACAATTCCCACTTCAGTCTGAGTGGCCAGGGATCGTCGTCCCGGACCGGGCCTGTCACTACGCATGCCCACTCTACACCTCGCGATGGCCTCAGTGCCGGGCGTTACACCCGGACCCCCTCGACCCCGGACGCGTCCCTGACATTGAGATATCTGTGGGCTTGAGCTTGAGATAGCATCCACTATGGAGGCTCAGGCCATGATACTATCCGACTTTTGTGAGTGTTTGATGAGAAGCTGTTCAGGCAACCAACATGTGAAAAAGATCAGAGAGTGTGAACGAGGAGATATGGGAAAGATCTCAGAGAGCTTTGTAGGATCAATCATGAGAGGGTGATGACAGAGACATATAGTTGGCCAAAGAGCCAACGTGAGAACATCACGAGATAGTTACGAACAATCAATACTAAACCCAATACCCAATGGGAACAGAGAACCACAGGGTGAGACAAGTAAAATTCCCACGAATTGTGGACCCGGAAAGTGACCTTGCAAGCAAGGTAATCCATATCCGGCGGTTAGAAATCCGCGGATATGCGGATCAACCGCGGATTGTAGATAAAATGTTCCAAAGTTGCATTTCGTCAGAATTGTCCTTGACGAGAGCTTTCTAACAATCCCAAATTTGTCCATATTGGTGGAGAACTGATGGAAATATGGGGAGAATGGTGGAAAACTTGGAGGTCAAATGCCTAATTTGGGAATAACAGGCCTGGGTGGTCAAATAAGACTTGAAGAAATTGGAAAAAAAAATATAGAAACATAGGAGGGGTATCTAGAACAGTAGGCGACAATAAATCCGCGGATAATCCGCCCATCTGCGGATTAGAAACCGCGGATACAATCCACTGGAAATCCAAAACCGGATCCGTGAATTTTCGGATGCGGTTGCGGATATCTGCAGATCATCCGATCCGCTAGGAGCCCTAGGCTTCCAACCTGTGCTGCCAACCCCCATATCAATAATATCGCTTGCAGCCATAATAACATGTGGTGGTCAGCAAGGATCAATGTATAAGCGGAAGAAGGTATCAGCGGTGTTCACATCAACACCGCATCAGACAAACCAATAAACATGAAGATTTCATTAATCACAATGATTGGGTATTCCATTGTAAACTACTTGGAGAGGTCGCAACACTTGGAAAATCTCTGGTGTGATACCTTGGGCCCGCAGGTAAATCCTCGACGGATCCTGTATTCCGAGTATCGTGCCTACTACCTGGGACCCCAGGCATACCAGCATGCAGTTACATAGCATGCACAGATGTATCGTCAATACACCAGATATCAACACAATAATGTCTATGAGAACCCTGCGATATCACCATTAGGGCTTCTAGCGGATCAGATAACACTCGGATATCCGCAGATTTATCCGAAAATCCGCGGATGCGGATTTGGCTTTTGACAGGATAATATCCGCGGTTTCTAATCCGCGGATCTATTGTCGCTACTGTTCTAGATATCCCTCCTATGTTTCTATATTTTTTTTCCAATTTTTTCAAGTCTTATTTGACCACCCAGGCCTGTTATTCCCAAATTAGGCATTTGACCTCCAAGTTTTCCACCATTCTCCCCATATTTCCATCAGTTCTCCACCAATATGGACAAATTTGGGATTGTTAGAAAGCTCTCGTCAAGGACAATTCTGACGAAATGCAACTTTGGAACATTTTATCTACAATCCGCGGTTGATCCGCATATCCGCGGATTTCTAACCCCTGGATACGGATTTTATTTCAAACCTCTAAAAATCCGCGGATTCTGATCCATATCCGATCCGATCCGATCCGCTAGGAGCCATAATCACCATGCATTAATTGAGCTGCGGCTTGCGACTCTGGCCGCAGTGTATAGGGGTTTCACAAAGGATATAAAGACTGGAGACCCTCTGATGGATTGAAAACCTAAACAATTACAAGATGTTTCTGAACTTTGCAACAATTAGCTTCATCGCGACCCTTCTTTCCTTCGCCACCTCTGTCACGGCCCATCCCACTGCCAATCTCATCCGAGAGCCAAAGGACTCCCCTAGATTCGCTGGTGCGATCCTCAGTGAAGTAAGCTCTCGCGCCTCAGGCTTAATACTCATATGCGTATAACCCGGGATCTCACCATTCAACTGTGCGCTTCCTCGTACTTGCAGTCCACTTATGATCGGGTTACCTCGACCTTTGTTATTCCGAAATTTGGCCCGAACAATTCGACCGTGCCGGATGGCACCCAGTACTTGAATGCAGTAGTTGGCCTTCAGTGCACTCAGGCTGTTCGTATCTACGCATTTGTTGGTTTCTCAATTAGTCCCGATGGGGGTGTGTATGTCTCTGGTACGTACCCAATGAGGCTGACTTTCGTGCAGTGTGTTGATTACTTATTCGTTGCTGTACCCTGACCAGCACTGGGACCTGTTCCCCCGGCAGTATCCTTCAATGTCGGGGAGACAGCTAGGATAACCGTAGAAGTGGCGAACAACGGATACAATGCAACTGTTGAGAATTTAACCTCTGGCAACGCGACACACGGACACATGCCTTCAGCTATACCTCCTACCTGTAACACGACAGTATGGGGTATCGAGGGGCCCAACTCTCGGCCTTTTGTGGGCAGTATCATTTTCTTCAACACGTTCGCTCGTCCCGCAAACGGGCTGCCGGAAGTTGGTCCGGGGGGAGCAACCATTCAAAACATCGTTACACCTAATGGGGCAAATCTTACTTCCACTTACATCACCTCTTCCCCAGGAATAACCATCTCATATCTCTGAGGCTAATTATTCTGTTTGGCTGACGGATTCTATTGTTGGCTTGTCTGACACTGGTGTTCCACGAACGGAGCTTGTTAAAACTTCGTTCCCCTCAGTTCCCATTCACGAGTCTGAGGATTAGTGGGGGTTGGCAAACCAGGTTAGAGCCTGGTGACGCTTACATAAGCAACATTCGTCTCAATCCTGGCCACACCATCCTCACCCTCAAAACACATCATCCTTAGGTTGTAAACTATATTAGAATTAACTGAATAATGGTATTATGTAGACTGAAGATTATGCATATGGAAGGATGGGTAATTAGATGGACATTTTAATGATTGAACCATGTTTGAGCTGAGCACCATCATTTTCCATCATCAGAGGGGCTGTAAATGCCATGCTATGGTGTTTTAGATTTATAGCTATTTGATGGCCATTTTTTGGCAAGCACGTGATCATTATATTATCTCAGACATCTCCCTTCGTTTGCTGACCCCAGGATTAGTATCCTTCTTGTTTGTTATGTTACTTGACAAGTCATTACACTCATCATGTTTCCATTCCAAATGAAGTACACATCTGTCAGAGACCAGACTCGAGACGAGGAGATGTCTCCATAACGGAGGGCTTCGGCCTCAGCGACTTCTGCCAAGAGCGCTGTGCCTAGTGACATGTCCGTGCCCTAACTTACTGACTGGCAATTAGAACCTAGGGGGGTAACTCTAGTTGATTTTTCTACTGGGGCGTAACCTATGTACAAGTGGGATATATATATGGTTACAGCGGAGACGGTTCCGCAATTGGCGGAGCCGAACGGAGTGGAGCTAACGGGGTTTAACCATTAGCCGACTGAATATTACCGACGAGTCGGTTCACGGGGTTAGCGGAAAGGCAGGCGATAACCCAGAAACGGAAAGGAGGGATAGGCCCGAAGGTGGGCTCTGCAGGGCAGGCGAGTGTATTGCCCAACGGAGGCGGGGGTGCGCTAGCGGACGTCAGAGCTGTCCGGAAGTCTTCGGGGCTCCGTACTTAGGGAGGCATAGGTAATAAATTGAAATGAGGGGGTGGTGACCATCGAGGGGTGCCGAGAGGATTGCGGAATACGGGGACTCCGAGGTTAGTGAGGGAGGAGCGGAGTTGGATCGGAGGGATCGGAGGGACCGGAAGTCGATGGCCAGGGATGGATATGACAACATCTGTACAAGTGAACGAGTTACAATCCAAGTTTTTCACCAGTCTGACTGTCTGAGGACGCATCTGTATGGCGATTTACAACTTGCTATAGTCTCTTATGTGTATATCACGGAATTCGAACAGAACAGACATGGGACATCCTGAGTTGCACTACAGAACTGCCTGTCAGGGCACACCCGCCTGACCCGGCTCCACCCGGCCCAACCTGACCCGGTACCCCGCCGGTCCACCCTTCCTTACCTCCCCCTTTCCCTTCTTCCCCCCTCATCCTCCCCTCCTCAGTTTCTCCTTATCTTACTTCTCCTTTATTCTCCCTTTATTCTACATGGACGACTTTCTCTGTATCAATGTACAACTGACCCATCTGCAGCGCGCCCACCATGTACCCGGCCCGGGCACCTCGGGCGACTTCCCGCTGTGCCCAGCACGCACGCCTGCACCAGATACCCTCGGGATCTCCCACGGAGACACCCAGGTGGTTACGGCTGTGTGCGAGGGTGACGTGGCACCCGTCATGTGATCCAAGCCGCATGTATATAAACGAACCTGAAGTGGGAACCGAAGAAGTAGCCTTCTTCTCAACTTTCCACTTCAGTCTAAGTGGCCAGGGACCACTGTCCCACATCGGGCCTGTCAGTACGCACGCCCAATCCACCCCCCGCCAGGCTCTCGGTCCCGGACGCTATACCCGGACCCCCTCGACCCCGGACGAGTCCCTGACACTTTGCTCCGAGCCTCCGTCATAGTCCCTACCTCGGACTTTGACTCCACCTCAGTCTTAGTCCATTGCATTGGTGACCTCATACTACGTAAACACCATTGCCAATATCCCTCGGACTTTCAACCCCGCCTCCGTAAGCTCCGTAAGCTCCACAACCTCCAAGCTTCACGGATCACCTTTGGCACTTTCGCCGCTTGTAATGTATCTCTCGCGTTTTCCCCTCATCCCTATTTGGACTGCTGCTTCTTCCCATTCTAGCCAGTTAGTCATCATCCCCACTTCTCACCATCCTCCTGCCCCTCTGGGCCTCGCCCTCCCTACCTCCTTTCGGACGTATCACAGGTTCTGTCTTATGACCTTCAGTACCACTCCGCTTCTGTCTACCCTTTGTTCCCGTTCGGACGTCTTCGTTCCAATTCGGATCCCCTTTGTTTCCTTGTGCTTTTGCCCCCTCCATTATATATATCGGTGCTTGTACATACTCGTATCAGGCTCAGTCCGAAATCGACCTGAAATGCCCCCTAGAGACTTCCTGCTCACCTACTGTGAAATTAAGGACCAAATGGACAAACAGCAATGGCACAGCGCTCTGCTTGAGTCGCTGAGGCCAAGGTCCCTCCACGCTAAGTCTCCGATTCCACTCCGGAGTCGTCTGAATCCGCCCGTTCTAACAAGGTGGGCCAGAGTGGTGGTGGAGTAGAGCAGAGGTGAGGCGGAGTTGGTATGGATATGACAGGATTGATGACTAACTGGCTGAATGTAAGAAGCAGTAGTGTCATATCCATCCCTGGCCATCGACTTCCGATCCCTCCGATTACTCCGGTCTACCCCCACTCCTTCTCCACTAACCTCGGAGCTCCTGTATTCCGCAACTCCCTCGGTACCCCTCGATGGTCACCACCCCCTCCTTTCAATTTATTACCTATGCCTCCCTAAGTACGGAGCCCCAAAGGCTTCCGGACAGCTCCAACGTCCACTAGCGCACTCCTGCCTCTGCTGGACAATACACTCGCTTGCCCTGCAAAGCCCACCTTCGGGCCTATCCCTCCTTTCCGTTTCTGGGTTATTGCCTGCCTTTCTGCTAACCCTGTAACCCGACTCGTCGGTAATATTCAATCGGCTAATGTCTAACCCCGTTAGCTCCGCTCCGCCATTTGCGGACCCGCCCTCGCTGTAACTATATATACTTAACTTGTACATAGGTTACACTCCAGTAATAAAATCGACTAGAGTTTACCCTCTTCAGTTCTGGTGGCCAGTTAGTAAGTTAGGGCATGGACGTGTTTACTAGGCACAGCGCTCCTGGCATAAGTCGCTGAGGCCGAAGCCCTCTGTCACGGAGACACTCCTTCGTCTCGACCTGGTCTCTGACAAGTAGTCCAAATTGGGATGAGGGAGAAGTGCGAAATGTATACTACAAGCGGCAAAAGTGCCGAGATCAGTCTGTGAAGCTTGGAGGTGATGGAGCTTACAGAGCTTATGGAGATGGAGTTGGAAGTCCGAAGAATATTGGCAATGGTGTTTACATAGAATGAGGTCACCAATGCAATGGACTTAAGCTGAGGTGCAGTCAAAGTCTGAGGTCGGGACCATGATTGAATCTCGGAGCGAAGGTATGAGCGGTGTCTGAGTACAGGGTATGGGAAGGTGGCAGAAGGTTGTGACTTGGCAGAGGTTGGCAGAAGAGGGATGGAAGGTAAGGGAGTGAAGAGAGGAGGGAGGAGGGAGGTGATGTCAGGTCCGAAGGTGGATATTGGAGCATACAGGGATAGGGTAGAACTCCGGAGGTGGTGAAGTGGAGGGTCCGGAAGTCGAATCGGGATCGGGTATGTATGGATATGACAACACATGTGATTACCAATTGTGTGTGCATGTCATATCCCAGAATCCCGACCCCACACTCTCCCACCTCTCTACACCTTCCTAACAACCTCACCATCCCTACACCATATCCCCCCCACTTCCCAATTTCACCTTCCTTCCCAACTGTCTCAGCTCCAGCCTGGATCTCGGCACACTCAACCTTGGCCACTCCCATCTCGGAAGCTTGGCCCCGAGTTGGAACATTCGGAGACTCTGGATTGGCTCCAACCTCCCAATGGATCTCCAACATCCTGTGACCTACCTCTAAACCACTCCTCCTCCCATTTCATTTAGTGGAGTCACCCAACATCCTTCGGATCCAGCCTTCTACTCCGCCCTCCTCGACCCGACACCTTGGTTCCCCTTTAAGGATATCATTTGGGACCTTTCGGTACCTTTCAGTATCACTTGGAACCTTTCGGTGTTTGTTGATATCACTCGGACTTTGACTAAAGTCCTTCTCCCCATCCCTCTATATATACATGTAGATTAGAACCCATTGTAGGCCAGTTCTAATCTCGACTAAAAGTTACCCCAAGTCCCTCTATGAGTGAATCCCGACCCCTTCCTACAAGATACCTCAGACACATGAAATATAAGGACTAACTGAGATGTAACGGAGGCACAGCGCTCCCTCCGAGTCACTGAGGCTGCGTCCTTCTTAGAGCCTCTTGTACCATCCAGCAGACCTGGGCTTCCTGGAGAAGCTTCAGTTCACTACTGGAGCTCTCAGATCCCCTCTAGTTGAGCCCTGCCTGCATTCGGACTCACGCACTTTCCCCACATTCAGGGTTTTTGACAGTGCACACTTTTGCTAACTTGACAAATACTGAGAGTTAGAGTACAACTTTAGTACCATTAGAAAGGTTGGATTAAATGAAAATTTATGATGCTGAGAATGTGAAGAACCATTCAGAAATTGGTAACCTGAAGATGCACAGGAAGACAACTTCTAGAGGTCCCAAGCCCCGAATAAAATTCATAAAAATATGATATCATTGAGGACGACTTATTATAACAACAAACAATGCATACAAAGGACTAGGATGCAATAATACAAATGGGAACCAGGGGAAATGGACGAAAAACTATGAAAAACCACAAAACTATGATAGACCATGGCAGGAATTTTAGGGAAAAATATACTAATAAAGCAGAGAGCTCTAACACATTTGTTTGTTCAATTCTTAACTATGACCAAGTATTTTGCTCTAAATTTGAACCATTTCACTCATTTATCATTTCAAGTCTCATTTCAACTACAGTAATTCACCCATGAATGGTGTTGTTTTTGTAATTTTGAGATTGCAACCTGAAATAAGCACCAAATGGAAATCTATCATTATGGATCATAGCCAAACTAAATGTTTACATGTATACGGAATATTAAAGCAAACAGATGGGAAATGAGTGAGAATATGAGCAAACAAAAAATGAGGCCTTCCCTACTCAATGGTTTTGCATGACAAGGTGTGACAATGGATACCACGTGCCAACCCAATCACTCGTTGTCATCCCCAATGGACTCAACCTCCTCCCCTCCACACTCTCTGACCATATCTGATGCCAAACCGGCCAGCTGGGGATAGTTCATTGCTCTTTTTGTGACTCCTTTCAGTTTCTTTGGCTGTCAGGGACGCGTCCAGGGTCGAGAGGGCCCGGGGGTAATGCCCGGCACTGAGGCCGTCACGGGGTGTGGAGCGGGCGTGCGTACTGGCGGGCCCGATCCGGGACAGTGGTCCCTGGCCACTCAGACTGAAGTGGAGAATGTGTTATTATTATTAAAGAGGAAAACTATACTACTTACCTGAAGTGGAGAATGTGAGAAGAAGGTTACTTCTTCGGTTCCCACTTCAGGTACATTTATGTACATGCGGCTTGAGTCACATGACAGGTGCCACGTCATCCTCGGAGGCAGCCGCAGGCATCTGGGTGTCCCCGTGGGGGATCCCGAGAGCGTCCGCTACATGCGCGCGTGCTGGGCACAGCGGGAAGCCGTCCGGGGTGTGTGGGCCGGACGGGTCAATCGTACATCGATACAAGGGAAGGTGGTCCGTGTAGATAGAAAGAAATAAACAGGAAGAAGAAGATGAGAAGAATGAAATAAAGAAAGGGGAAAGAAAAGGGAAAAGAAGGGGGAGGAGAGGGAGGAAGGAGGGGGGAGGGGGATAGACAGCGGGGAGCGGGTGTGGTGTGGCCGGGTGGGCCCGGGTGGGCCCAGGTCAGGCGGGTGTGCCCTGACATTGGCACTGTCAGAGACCAGATTCGAGACGAGGGAGAGTCTCCGTGACGGAGGGCTTTGGCCTCAGCGACTTCTGCCAAGAGCGCTGTGCCTAGTGACACGTCCGTGCCCTAACTTACTGACTGGCAATCAGAATCGAAGGGGGGTAACTCTAGTTGATTTTCTTACTGGGGTGTAACCTATGTACAAGTGGGATATATATATGGTTACAGCGAAGACGGGTCCGCAATTGGCGGAGCCGAACGGAGCGGAGCTAATGGGGTTTAAACATTAGCCGACTGAATATTACCGACAAGTCGGGTCACGGGGTTAGCGGAAAGGCAGGCGATAACCCAGAAACGGAAAGGAGGGATAGGCCCGAAGGTGGGCTCTGCAGGGCAGGCGAGTGTATTGCCCAGCGGAGGTGGGGGTGCGCTAGCGGACGTCGGAGCTGTCCGGAAGTCTTCGGGGCTCCGTACTTAGGGAGGTGTAGGTAATAAATTGAAATGAGGGGTGGTGACCATCGAGGGGTACCGAGGGGATTGCGGAATGCGGGAGCTCCGAGGTTAGTGAGGAAGGAGCGGAGTTAGACCAGAGGGATCGGAGGGACCGGAAGTCGATGGCCGGGAATGGATATGACAGGCACCCTCAGCTTTAGTGCCTGCAACCTTTCCTTCTCCTTCCACGCTGCCGCACATGCCTTCTGCCCTCTTTGGAACTCTTCCCAATCCTTCTGTACTTCCTTCATTACCTTCTCTAACTCTTCCTCCATCATCTTCCTCTTAAATCGGTCTGTTTGGTGCTGAACAAAGCCACTGTGTGTCACCACACGTCCAAATGTGCCTTTGATCCGACCACCCTCCTCTTTGTGTTTGTCTCCCTTTTCATGCGAGAGAAGCTGGGCCCGAGCCTTTAATGCATACATTCCACACAGAGCTAGCTGGGCATTGGTTGCGTCTATGGCTGACACTGCACTTGCCACATACTCGTTTGCGCTCCGGAATTCAGAGCATGTTTCTTGCAATTCGGCAATCAACTCCCCATGTGTCTTTGACTCATAGCTTGTTCCCTCAGCTAGGTCCCATTGGATGCTTTTCAGTCCTGCAGAATCCCCATATGCCTCCTTTGGAAGTTCAAATGTTGAACGGAGTGGTGATGTCAAAACAACGAATTTGGACGATGATGAGAATGACATGATGTGCTCTGAATCATTGACTGCATGCCTTTTCGCCTGGGAATATGCCACTGGTGTCTCTGTGGAAGTTATCCTTTTCTTTTTTATTCAATCTCACTCCATATGAGTCACATGACTACTGAGTCGGACTTTACTGTTTCTACTACTTGTATAAACACTAAAGTCATCCTCAGAGGTGCCATAACCTGAGTTACAACAGTCTCAACTACTGTTGGAGATGTCGTTAAGAAGCCTTGGCTTTGGCATGTTGGGGTGTGTATCGATGAGGAATCCTCAGGTCGCTGCCAATGTAGGCACGGATCATAGGATCAAATATTGGCTGATTGTTTGTGTTGCTGTCCTCACTGTAGTGATCACTCTGACTGCCAAGGTACATCCCAGGGTCCTGAGAGCTGTCAAATGGGGAAGGTGTGTCCTTGTGCTGGTACTTCTTGGCCAAGAGTTGACTGTGGAAGTACATAATGTAACAGGCAGAGGGAGATCAGCATGGGTTGAGTGTTCAATACTTGGTGCCAGTTGTTGGGGGTGGATTACAGCTGGGTCAAATGGGTAGACACCAGTTATGCAGAAACAAGTCTTGACATGTTCCTCAGTGACAGAGTCCACCCAAGCCAACCCAAACACAGATAGAAATGAAGTTTTGTTCAACTTCTTTGGGACATTCTCCTGGTTATAAATATCATGGTGTTTGGTGAAGGATCTTTTGAGAAGGGCGAAAATTACAACATCAAGTCCTTGAAGCACATGAGTCGTTGTTGTGGGGACAACTCCGTGTACCGCAAAAAGTCGGATTCTGCAGAATTTGGTCACCAACACGCAGTACATATCTGCTGACGCTCCCGATACTCATTCTATCACTATCCAACACTCCATACACTCACTCCATATTTTTCCATATTTTCCCCATCATTCCCGACAACCCCAAGCAAAATTCCCACGCCCAACCATGCCGCCAATTTCACCCCCTCTCCAGACCTCCATAGCCACACATACAACCCAGCCATTTTTCTACCCGTTGGTGATGCTATACCTTCCTCCTTTACCCCCGGAGTACTTCCCAGAATGGCAACCCCATATTCAGATGGCTCAGCATGGTGTATAGCCTCACGTGGTCTTGACAGCACCTGTCAATGGCCACATCTCAAGAAGTACTGCACCAATTGGGATGAATGAGGGCTCGTTGGAAAGCTGGAGACGAGGAGGCTGCTGACGGGAGGATAGGCGGGCGCTGCGGCGAAGTGTTGCGGAGTTAACCATCACAATTCCCATTTCGGACCCGTTGTCACATTTTCCCCATTCATTCATATTTCTTTTATTGTTTCTTTGTTCCCAATTGGATATTTATCATTTACGGTTACCTAACGGCCCGTTTACATTCCCCCACTCCATTCATTCCATTTCCAACATATATAAACTAGATAACAGCTTGTACATAACAAGTTAGTATTGAATAGACCTGTGAAAGAGAAAGCAGAAGTTACATCCAAGTGGCAAAGACACCATCCACGACCCTAACGCCCCCTCTGAGCTAGTTGTTCACGTCTAAGACCCCTCACATCATAATACTCAGCCTTGACGTCCAAGAGAGACGTAGGTGAGTGTTTGTTTGAGGTTTTTGCAGACTCAGTAGCACCCACGGACCAAAACCCAGCCCAATGAACCACACCCACACACACTACCACCCTCCCCCTTTCTCTGTCACGAGTCTAGGCGATAGACCCGTTACATCGTATGAGCAGGATAACAAATCACAACAATTTTGTGCTTGCATGCATATGAGATGAAGTCAAGGCTGTAATGGGAGTTGTGCCCATCAACAACAAGGAGACGGTAATGGTCTGCTGCCTATTTTCATTGAATGTTTGGAGCCAGTCCATTCCAATCTCATGGTCTGTCCAGCCCTTGTCAGAAACAGCAACCCTGCCAAAAGTGAGCTTAGGTTGAATTGTGAACATCAAGACTTACGTGCATTTCAATGGGGTGTTCCACTACCATTTTGAATTTATGTTTTGTCCTTTGAAGATCATGACTGGTGGCACATAGGAGCCATCAGCACAGACTGTCACAATGACACTAACATTCTCACGGTTGCCATCACATTGGACATGTGCCTGTTTTGTCATCTTGTGTGCAATCACTTTGATCTTTTCCCCAGTACCAAATCCACTTTCATCCACCCCACATATGTTCCCAGGCAAGAAGCCGAACCCCCCGTACCGAGCACACAGGAGCTGAAACCAATGTTCTAAGGTAGTGGGGTTGACAGCACCACCGTGAATATTCTCAAGGTTTGAGCTCCATTTTGAATTGAGTCGGTCCTTGTTATGGATCAAGAAATTGTCAATCCAGTTCTTGCCCAGTGTGGAGATCAGGATGTTGGACTCGGGCAATTTCTAGTGCATACTCCACAGCTCCACCATGTGCTAAGGGGAAGCCATGGTCTGACATGAGGAGTAAAAAGTCAACAAGAGTATCATTTTCAGCCTGATTTAGCCACAGCTGCTGCTCTATGACTATGTCCACCATTGAGCCTCCTTAGAAATGTAGTATAGGCTACCCCATAATCCAATGCATATTCTTTTGCACATGGCTTCCGGCCTTCCTGCTTGGCACGCACTAGTCCAGAATGGTATGATGTGAGGGCTTGCAGCATATGCAGCTCTGCTGCTTGAGCCACCTTTTGCTTTTGAAACCTTAGGGAATCTGCATGCCTAGCCAGAGAGGAAGTCGGGTAGAAATTGGCAAGCAGCAGGCACAAAAAGGGATGACTTAATGAAATGAAGCACAGATGTAAACCTGCCCAAAATGAGTGCGCATTTCATCAAAACAAACAAACATGAGTGCATGTGACACTGGCTTTTTACTCTTGAGTGACATCCCAAGCTCTGGAGTGCACCTGTACCACTGTAGCCCCACTCCTGGAAGCATGGGACACATAACTTTCAAGGATATGAGAAGTTAGGTTAATAATCACCATAACTCATTTATTTCATGTCCGATCTGGCTAATTTTTTGCGTAGTCATAGTAGTAGTTATGATGGACAAACATGGAAAGAATGGGGGGATATCATTGTGGAATAAGGGTGTTGTGGATGAAAAAACCATTGATGGGTGAAAACCGTTCACATGTGAATTACTGTAAATGTCACTGGATAAAAATAGAATAAATCAGCTGAAAGTAATAGCACAGCTGTACACACAGTAATGTGTAATCTGAATTCAGAATGACCAAGTCATAGCAAACTTAATGGTAAACAAGAAGAATTTGAAATAAAGAACTGTGACAAATGCAGCACAGTCAAGTTCTAATTAAAACATTAAAATAGCTTAGGCAAGGAAGGACAATAAGAATCCTAGGCACAGTCTGACTGCAGCAGGGCTGCAGTTCAGCGCAGCTGAGCTGTTAGAACCGGGCGGAAACAGACGACTCCGGAGTGGAATCGGAGACTTAGCGTGGAGGGACCTTGGCCTCAGTGACTCAAGCGGAGCGCTGTGCCATTGCTGTTTGTCCATTTGGTCCTTAATTTCACAGTAGGTGAGCAGGAAGTCTCTAGGGGGCATTTCAGGTCGATTTCGGACTAAACCAAAACGAGTATGTACAAGCGCCGATATATATAATGGAGGGGGCAAAAGCACAAGGAAACAAAGGGGATCCGAATTGGAACGAAGACGTCCGAACAGGAACAAAGGGTAGAAGAAGCGGAGCGGTACCGAAGGTCATAAGGCAGGACCTGTGATACGTCCGAAAGGAGGTAGGGAGGGCGAGGCCCAGAGGGGCAGGAGGATGAGGAGAAGTGGGGATGATGACTAACTGGCTAGAATGGGAAGAAGCAGTAGTCCAAATAGGGATGAGGGGTAAACGCAAGAGATGCATTACAAGCGGCGAAAGTGCCGAAGGCGATCCGTGAAGCTTGGGGGTTGCGGAGGTTACGGAGGTTACGGAGGTGGGGTGGAAAGTCCGAGGGATATTGGCAATGGTGTTTACGTAGTATGAGGTCACCAATGCAATGGACTAAGACCGAGGTGGAGTCAAAGTCCGAGGTAGGGACTATGACAGAGGCTCGGAGCAAAGGTACGAGAGGTGTCCGAGTACGAAGTACGGGACAGCGTGGAAGGTCATAACTTGGTGGGAGGGTGGCAGAGGAGTATCAGAGGGAGGAGAGAGGGGAGAGGTAAGGGAGAAGGAGTGGCGGAAAGGAGAGTTGTCAGGTCCGAAGGTGAGTATCGGAGCAGACGGGGGAAGCGTAGGAGGATGACGGGAGGGTGGAGGTGTTGTGAAGGAGGAGCGGAGTAGGAGGAGGAGGAGTAGTAGGAGGGTGGCAAGAGGGGCGGCGTTCGGTCCGAGGTGAGTATCGGAGCGGACGGAGATAGGGAAGGAGAGGGAAGGAGGAGCAGAGGTGGCGTGGGGGGGTGAGAGGAGGTGTGTTGCCAGGACCGGAGGTGAGTATCGGAACGGCAGCGGTAGGGTTTGACTCCGGAGGTGAAGAGGGTGGAGGTCTGGAAGTCGGGTCGGGGTCAGGTATGCATGGATATGACATGAGCGCAGTAGAACTATAGCATGAAAAATTCATTTTTATTCAGTTTGAGGAAAATACACTGTAAATAAATCCTGTAGATATGAGGTAGAGCATAAAAGGGAGACCCTTTCTGAAACTTTATGCCCCCCTTAGAGAAGTAAGAAAATAGAGTATTATTTTTCTCAAGCATTTGTGGTTATCACTCCAGTGCAAAAAAGTGAAATACAGTTAAGATTGCCACTGTAGTAAAGGGCAGCAATTAGGGAGAGAAATATTAAGTAAATATTTCAACAGGAGAGCTGGTTAACACTCCAGATTTCAAAGTGTAAACAAAAACAATTATTTTGCTACTGTTAAAACAAGCAATAAAAATAAGACAAAAATAAGACAAGGCCAAGGACACCTCAGACACAATCTAAACTCATTGACGGAGCAGAATCTTTGAAAATTCACCAAGTAGAAGATTTACTTCAGGTTAAAATC